GGGTTCAATGATACGTGTACGCAACATTTCTTCAATTTGGCGTTTAATTTCTTGTCTCTTTTCAAGAGGGACTCTGTAAGGTCTTTGCTGAGGTGCTTTGGCGTGAGGAACGAAATTGATATTATGTGATATAGGACCATTATACCGACCTAAATTACCGTCGGCGCCTACAAAACAAGTTTGATATTTCGCTAATAGGGCGTAAAATTGTAAGATTTGTTGCTGTGAAAGTGATGAACTATCAAACTTGATACGGTCTTGTATGGGAATTACATTATTGGCTGGAAAGTGTGGCATCTGTTTGCTTATATCTGCTTCCGGTGGTATATACTGTTCTAATTCTTGTAAAGATGGCAGAATGTCATTAGGTTCCTCTTCAGGAATTACTGAAAATATTGGAGGCCATTTCATGTTAATTCCTACAAAGTTTGCATAAGCAATTAATTTCTTTTTCTGAAAGTGAATTGGTACCGGATTAGAGTTAAAAATTCGTAAAATAACTTTGTTATTATTGTTTGTTGCAGAAAGTGTTTTTCCGATAGCTACTCCAAATGGTAAAGTAATAAAATTGTCATCACAAATGAAGAATTCCCATTGGTTAGGGTAGCTAGTGTGGAGATTACCTTGGACAATGTTATCGCTGTTTGGTGGAAGAGTGGTGTGCATTGATAAACGCACTGGGATTTCGAAAGTGGAAGATTCAGAGTCTGTTGAAGTGATGAAACTAACCATGTTTTGATCAAAAGATATGGTGTTGTTATCGTAATTTATTGAAATGTTAGAAGCTATTTTCTTAATAGTATCATTTCCTATAAGAAACTCTGCGGTGCAGTCCTTATCGTGAACTACGTAAGTCAGTATTTCGATGATTTTGTCGCCTACTTGGAGGATGGGCGAAAGTTCTCCAATGAATTTAATAGGCGTTCCATTAGCAGTAATGCCCTGTTGTAATGATGGTTTGTTCATGGGTGTATTCAAAAGTTTTGCTAATCTGTGAGAAATTAGAGTTATAGCCGATCCAGTGTCAAATAGTGCGATAACATTTTCTTGATTGAGTTTTGCTGGGATGAAAATAGTTGACATAGAATCATTTAAAATTAGTGCTACGCTTGGATTGTGAGAAAGAAATTTATTAGTTTTGTTTTTGATTATCGATGAATATCCTGAATTTAGGGGAACTTCATCCATTACTACTTCAACAGAGTTTTCTCTACTAGAGTGTCTGACTAGGGGATTACGTCGCTTAGGTTGTAAAATTACACGAGAATTTGCGACATGTGCAGGGGTGTTTTCTATTTCGTCTTTATCATTATTTTCGGTTCTGCTATCTGTTTTTCTTTTGCAAAAAGCTAGAATTGCTGAGCAGGGAATGCATGCTATTTTGAATATAAAGTGGAAAACTATTCTGGCTAAAGTGAATTGGTAGTAAAGTAGACCTAAGAGTCCTATAATTATTATCACGATAGTTAAGTAAACGATGGTTCTTACAAAATTATGTAGTTTAAGTGCTTTGACAACTGTTTTCTTTTCTTTTTGTAAGATACTGGAAGCTTTGGATTCGATATATTGGATTTTGTTGATAGTTTCTTTTTCAAATTCATCTGCCGTACCTTCGTGAAAAGGTTTTGTATGTTCGGCTGAGGGAATTTGTTCAGAATATAAACGGTTTTTTATCAAGTTTACTTCAGTGGAAAGGCGAGCTAGATCGGAATGGAAAATTGGAGGGGCGTTAAAAATGAAGTCCTGATTTGCTATTGAGTAGGGAAGGTTTGTGTGGACCTGAGCAACGTCAATAGCGCCTTGCGGTGATTTATAATGATTAGTGCCATCGTTATAGATACCAAATGGAAGGTGTCCGCAATTTGCTTCAGCGCTGCTCGTTGTTAGATCTTTTGTTCCGGGTATTACGTAATGTATATCTTTACCTATGCGTACGGGAGTAAATATGTAACAAATGCCGTTAACGTTATGATCGAGGTAAATTTCATCTATGTGAACTTCTTTACATTTGGAAACCATCAAAACATCACCGGCTGCTATGGCGAATATATCATTACGGTTAAGCAAAATTCGTGCTGCACTGGTGGGATTGATTTGAGCTATACTTTTTATTGCTTGATTTTTGAAATTTGTCAAACTACAAATACGATCAAAAAGATAATTGAAGTCGTGTCGCATAACTGTGGTAAGCATTGATTAGATATGGTTCTGTGCGCTGTACAAAAACGAAAGCTGTAGTTAGTAATATATCAGTGGAATTGCTAGGGTGAGTACACGATGTAAGTTCTGGATAAGCTACTGGCCAACCAGATTTACCGGCTGCACAGAGTTGGTAAGTTGGAGGTGATGCGGTAGCAAAAGTAAATGATAAACAAAATACTGTTATCAAAAATAGTGAATGTGCGTATTTTCCTATGCCAGATGAAAACTTTGTAGAAATTGAATTTACATTTCTATCTACATTATTTCTGTTGACATTTCTATCTTTACGAAAGTTGTTATTTCGTTTAGGGAATCTAGGAGGTGTTTTTGATCGATTGTTTCTATTAGGAAAAGGTGAACGACTATTGGAAAAAGGTGAACGACTTCGGGATCTACTGTTGGAATTATCGCGTGAATAAGGTGCAAATCTAACATTCTTTTTGTAAGGGATGAATGGTTTTCTTTTAAAATTAGTTCGGGAGTCGCGCATGTAGTTATTTGATGGATAAAACCTATTGCGATTATATCCGCGATTATATGGGTAGTCCGGAAGACGTTTCAAATTATCGGCTTGGAAAATAGCATTAATTGGTTTTGAACGTAAATTATCGAGAATTTTATCTACTTTTTCCATTAAGACAGAGTCTCCAGTAAAGTGTTCTTCATATTCTGTTAGATCATAGACTCGTTCCGCTTCAGTTAAAAGTTTGTTGAAGTCAGTGGGTAAAGGACCCAAAAGTTTGAGCTTTTGCTTGAGTTTTGGAGGTAAAGCGGTGCTAAGAACAGTTCTTAGGAGAAATTCTCTATTTTGTTCTTGATCTGGTTCGGGATAAGCCTCTAATATGCATTGTCTTAGTCTTTTAGAAAACAGTGTTGGTGATTCGCCAGGTTTCATTTTCATTTCCATGAGTTTTTCGCGAGCCATATCCAAAAAATGATCAGTGGAGAAATGTCTACCAAGTTCATTAACGGCTAACTGCCAATTTACTAGAGTGTAGAGAAGTGCAAAATGAAAAAGATTTTGTGGAGAAAGTGTGGTAATTAGAAGAAAGAAAAAAAATTTTTTCATTTCGCTTGGTTATAGCAAAGCTTTCAAGAAATGCTGAGTTTGTAAAAAAAAATTTTTTTTTTATTAGGGGTTTATATAAAGATATATTTTACTAATCACAACTAAATTCAATATTGTATTTATCCGACTTATTGCTGGGGACCCATAAGTTCGTTAGTGAGTAGAAAATATTATTTGGGCTTTTTTTTATAAAATGATGCCAAAGTGGTGTCCAATTGCTCTTTAGTCTCTTTGTTTTGAGATAGGTGAGAATAAGAAGGGGTAGGTGTTACGATCATCAATCTTAACTGTATAGTCATTAGTCTTGAGGGTTCCTCCTTGAGTGTTTTCGCCTACGGCCAATTGCTCCATTAGTGAGTGATTACGGCAGGTGATGCGCTAGGATATTTTTATCTTTGCGGCCATTTGTTCGCGACTTATTAATTGCTAGGTGGGGTTCCTCCGCGTAAATATTTCTGGGCTCGGCCATTTGTTCGCGCTTGATTAATGGCGGATAATGGCGTTCCGAGCAAAATATTTCGTGCGGCCACCTGTGAGTTTTCGTCATCCACGAGAGAATTTATTGCTAGCTGAGGTTTGTTGAGGTTGCGCTGTCTGAGAGATGCAATGATCTATTCACCAAACAATGCGCCGTGAATCGGGCGAGCTGATAAATGTCAGCGCCTTCACGTGCTATATTGTATAGCCAATCTCAGATTTTGTATGCATACATTACCGGTTTTCGCGAGCGAGTCCTTTTGAATTTCATAATAATTGTATAAATTTAAGGGATAAATCCCGATATGCTAGCTATAATTACAATTAATATACCCTCATTCTTTAATGCGCAAAATAATAATTTATATTCAATATTTTTCATCTCTAAATTAATTACGTAAGTCACGGATCACGGTGAATTTGTAAACAAATCTACTGTGAATTGCGCGTAAAAAAAAATTGCGTTCAATCATAAATCGGCACGAAACTTATTTTTCGAAAATATCCGCGTTTTACATGCATGAAATATATAATTTATCGACCTAAGGTACCCGCCCGCAGGACTTTATGAAGGCAATTCTCAGATTGCTCTAGGTTAATGTTAGAACACACCATTATCGGTTAGTGGTAATAATATTTAAAAAAAAATACTCACATGTCGTTCGAGCTTCCTTGCCATGGTTGAGGAAGGGGGATTGTAAGACGATTGGAAGAAGGGTGGTATGTCGATTGGGAGGAGGGTGGGGGGTGGTGATTTTTTTTTTTAATTTTTCAGAGAGAGAGAAAGAGAAAAAAAAATTTTGTCTATCTGCGGGATGATATCTCCCTGGGACCTCCATATCAGGTTAAAGGGGTGCACAGACCTTTGCCTGATGGTGTAGCGGTGTTATTGTACTGTGTCCAAGACATAAGTAATTATAAATTAGTTTATTATATAAGTTACATAAAAGGAGAGGAAAAGGGGGGAAGGGTAGACTGGTATGAGGATGACCAGCCAGGAGAGGGAGTGTGTGTAAGAGTTATTCATGCTGTCTTTTATACTCGTACAACAGCAACTGTGTCGTAGGCGGGGTGGCGTGTCCAGTAAACAGTGGAAGCATGACGAGGCATAAGATATGGTGAAATGATATCCCGACAGCATATTCGCACTAACACCACAGTTATCAATGAAAAATTTGCAGCTTTGCATTTTCTTATTGTTAATCTATGATCTCATCTTAAAAAGAGTGATGCTCTGTATTTTAGTGCAGAAATGAGAAGGCGAACGAGAGGATTAGCACTCATGTCCATCTTCTTCGTCTTCATGATGTTTTACACCAACGAAAGTGTACTGAAGGACTCGATTACGCAAGCAAATCCTGCTGTGCCAGATCCCGTCCAAGCTAGCAGGTCAGTCAAATTCATTTGTTTGAAATAAATTCATAGCGTAACGTATGGTCACAATCTCTGAAACCAGAGTGGAGATTTTTTTACCGTTGCTATACATGATTCACCCTCTACAGATCCTTAACCTTCAAGCTCTCCAACACTATCTCGGCTGGAACTTCGAAACAGTGAGTTACAGAATCAGTCAGAGCTTGAGCTTTTCTAGAACGAACGCGCAACTATACCATTAATGGAGAAACTTTGTAATCTTACGGTAGGGTGTACGGTAGAGGTAGTAGTTTTTCCACTGCGGTAGTAGCCATTCTCTTTCATAAACATGAGTGAGGCCTGCCTTAACAATATCTTAAATATCTGAATATATTCATGGGTTCTCAAAAGATACGATCAAATTAAATCATTAGCGCCAGGTATTTTGCACAGTTTTGTTAACTTTCCATATTATGTATGAAGCAGTTTTTCTCGCGGATGCTTTGTTTCGTTTGATAAAATCACTTTGTTGAATTTTTAGATACAGCCTACCTCCAATAGTGTCTGACAAGTGGATTGTTGTGACATCAGTAAACTTCCCTACAGAGGATGTAAAGGTTTGTATAAATTATTCATCTCAGTAAGGTGCACTGAACATTTAATTATCTATTTCAGCGTTTAGCCGCACTGGAAGGGTGGAATCTCGTTGTTGTAGCCGATAGAAAAACTCCAAAGGGCTGGTATTATAAGAACGTTCATTTTCTTAGTATGGATCTGCAGGATAGGTTAGGTAGGAAATTCAAGTACTTGATTTGGAGAATAAAAGCTTTATTTCACCCATCACACATTCGCTTTATGGGGATGTACTCCCAACGCAAAAAATGCACATTAACATGCAGCGCAACACTTTCGTCTTTTGAGCGCAAAAAGATAACGCGTGCAGAAGATACGCAGACAGCTATAGCGGGACGCTGCAGTATCCGCAAATTGCGCATGTCTTCGTTACCCTCCAGGCCATGTACAAATTCTTTAAAAGAATTTCTTAGGTGCTAGCGTCTACAAAAAAATAATCGTTTGTTCTAAATATAACATTTTTTGATAGTGTCAAGTCTTTGCATATTAGTGGGCATTTTCCTTTACTTGTGCATAGGTTTCCGTTTTTGTGTAGGTTTCCGCTTAGCGGCAGTGTCTCCGGAAAACTCGTACACTAGGAAGAACATTGGCTACCTTTACGCAATCAAAAACGGAGCCAAGTGGATCTATGACACCGATGATGATAATAAGCCATATGGTGAGATTACTCGTCAATATAAATGACGATATCTCCCCATCAAATGGCAATTTCAGGGAAAGGCCTCTCTCAATTCGATTTCAGAAGCACCACTAGTGGACTATGCTTTCGCAGAAATGCTGATATTAACGATACACAGTAAGGAAATCTTCATTTTTAGACACATTTTTTTCTGAAAATCATCTTTCTGCCTTAATATATATTTCTTTTCGAGTGGGAGTTTGGAAATAGTGTATTTCCAACCTCCCAACTTGAAAAGAAATATATATTAAGGCAGAAATTGTTCAATCCGTATCGCTTCTTTGGCAATCCAGGCATGTGGCCAAGGGGTTTTCCCCTAGAGCACCTCAAGGTAAGACTAACAAATTTTTACCTCTTTTCAAATTTAACCTTTAGAACCATACAAATGGCAAAGATCGACTATGCTTATGCAGTACTATGCGTACACCTGCAGTACAACAAGGACTCGTACACAAAGATCCGGATGTGGATGCGATTTATAGGTATAAAACTCAGCACAACTGAAGCCATTATGAGCATAAGCTACCGGATAGTCGTTTCAGATATTTAGGCTCCTTTACGCTGACAAAAAGACTGGTTTGGATGAACGATTCAATGAATTTGCTCCACCCGTTGTTCTAGACTCAGGTAAAATAATTCTGATAATGGTCACTGACATCCTTTCTTGGAACATAAATCCCATTTTTAGGTACATATTCGCCTTGGAACTCCCAAAACACTCTATTCCACGTAAACGCATTCTTTACTCTATTCCTTCCTGTCACCGTAGCCTTTCGGTGAGCATTCATGCAAAATTCCCCAGAAATAAAGCAAGCATTAAAGAAGCCTTTAGGATGCCATAGCCTTTGATAGTTTGGTATAGAGAACAGAATGATTGCCTTTATGGTCTGCCAAATCAGAAGGTTCAATTCAAGCAATAAAAACTATACATTTATTTACTTTATCATATATTAATATATGTATCTATTTGTTTATTTGATTTTTTGAAATTGAGCGCGAGAATTGTTTTTCCAGGAGGAGCGAAAAGGCAGTTGCTGGAAAAGTGTAAAGACATATGTTCTGTATTTTTTAATCGGGTACGCGGCGCTACAAAAAAAATTTTGTGGTTGTTTTAAGCGCTATATATTCTGAAAAATTGAGATGCATCAAAAGATTTCTCCCCATAATAAATTTTGTTACACTGAAGTGCCCTAATCCGAGTATTTCCTATCCACATAGGAACAAATTAATGCTCATTTTCACCTCGTAGACTTTTTTTGCAGGGTGACCGACATATGGCGTTCATACTTTGCGCAAAAGCTTTTACATCTCGTAGGAGAACGAATAGCTTTCTACCCAGTGAACGCTATACAGTTTCGCAATGCACACAATTACATGGCTGATTTCCAACAGGAGTTGTAAGCGTTTTTTTAATATCTGTGCGATACAATTATGAAGTAAATAAAGTTATTTTTAGAGACGTCTACACAAAATCTGGAAAATTTGTGGGCTTTCTCGAATCATGGCATTGTGACTCCAATGACATCAGCAATTGTACAGTGGAACTAGCCGAACAACTAGGGTGGGAATCTTGTGAAGTGTTACATAGAGCACAATTAAAATTTTAGAAACGGGATTGCGCAGGGTGGGGTAGGAGGAATTTTGTAAATTTTCAAACAGTACAATATGACTGAATCCGCTAAGAAATTTCAACATTCGCCAAGATTTGACTTTTTTCTAGAATACTCGGATTCTGGCAAAGGAAAGACGCCTTTTTAGTGAAATTGTGGATAGAAGACTTGCGATCAATGGGGTAAGTCTTACTTGCGTCTTAACTCAAATTCTGAATTTGAAATTGAATTTTTCCGAAGACTTTGTAAATTAAACTAAGCGCTCTTTACTAAAGAGTCCCGGAGAGGGTTTTGATCTCAAAACCCCTTCTAAGGAATGAACGAAACAGAGTAAAACATGTAAAGTTATTTCTTCTTTATCAATCCTTATTTCAGATATGAGTTTCCTAAGATGGTATTACATGAAAATCCCGAAACCTGCTTAGATGGGGAAAATGGCGGCTCTACTTGTTATGCTGCTCACACTGAACTCAAAACGGATATGCCACTGAATCATGAAGAAAAAGTAAATAGGCATTTCATGGACATTTCCCTGTTTTTCTTCAAAAGCCAAAATATTAGGCGATTACAAGGATGAAACAAAAACTGGAGTTTGCGGAGGATTTGCATGATTGGTGCAGAAAATCACAACCTGCTGGTAACTTTTGTTCGCTTAATGGATGCTTGAATAAACTGGACTTTGTAGATATTTTTACTTCATTCACCTATAATTATTTGGCCGAAAAACACTCGAAACATCGCAGCCTTGTTGAGTATCTCGAAAAGGTAAAGTTTTAATTGTCAGAAAGTACATTTTTTAGATTCACTATATGTCTAGTTTTCAAAAATTCAATCCAATTTTAAGGTATTGATAGTAATTGCCGATCAGAACGGTGCCGGATTAGGATTACTGCAGCGAATTTACCAACCATATTTTGCGGTGACAATTTTTTGTGGTAGCAAAGGCTTCCTAGAAAACAGCGGAAAGTGTAGGTCAACCAATAAAGAAATTTTACCAGCAATATAATATAATTCAGTTAACGGATTAGGACTGGTACATCCGGTAAACTATATAGCGTTGGAGGAGAACATTCCTTATGGCATGACTTCTAAGTGTCTGGTCAAAGTGCAACAGATGAAATTGCAGAATGTAACAGGTGCGACGTTTTTTAGTATTTCATCAAAGAAAACTAGCAAGGCAAAAATCAAAATAGAGGGAATCAGGGTAGGCTACATTTTGGTCATCATTTTCTGGTATTTGTGTAAAATAATTTACGAGAGGAATGAGGAGACTTGGAAGAAACACATATATATGCCCTGTTACACTGTCACTTCTCAGCCAGATAGCCTTTTCGAAGGGATCCTTCAGGGGATAAGAATGTTTATTTTTCGAATGATAAGCTCAAGAACACCTTTAAATTTCTACTCAGTGTTCCCTTTCACAAAAAAAGTTCGTACAGTGTCTGAACGGAGAAAGATAAACAGTGAGTAAACACTCAAATCAGTGATTATAACCGGCCATGGAAATGTGCTATACTTTCGTACACACCATTGCTTGAAGAGAGTTATAGATGGACGTGATAAGAAAGGTGGAACGCATCTTCACTGTGATAAATGTAGTGAACGATACGATACTCAAGACTATATTCTCGAATACTACTCGTGAACCAAAATCACTGAAAGAAATATCTGCCAATGCAGGGCTTGCATCGACGCATTACCTTATGCTTGGGTAATTGAACCGTTCACTAATCGCTACGATAATAGTATTAGGCTTTTAAATAGGTTTTGCAGTTGAGTCTGTAACTTTCCGCTTTTTGATATTGGCGCGCTCAATGATATTGTATAGATTGCTGTGTGAATTATAAACTAGCATAAATCGCTCGCTTCCCGATGACAAAATAAATAAAAATTCGAGAGACTAGTGAAATTTGAGGATTCATAAGTTTTGAGTGAAAATGAAGCCGTTCCTAACCTAGATCATGCACAATAATCCCAAAGTATGCATAACTCGTTGCTAGGGGTCGACTCATCTAGCACATTGAAAAAAAAAATGGAATTCGAAAACAACTCAAAATTTGCGCCCTCGCAAAGCTGAAAGAGTTGCTGTATGTAAAGCTGCTTGGGAACAAGCATCAATTACTAAGGAGTCGAAGTCGCAGACGCCAAAACTTTTACGGTCTGTTATTTGTCCTGCCCAATACGAATATCATATCGTTCAACAAATTGACGTCTCTTTTCGTTTTTGTGACCAGTAGTCATATAATCCATCTACACAAAGTTTCAGCCAAATCCTGTAATAATCTTTTTCCCCTTATATCATTTACCTACTGTAACTCACTGCGACGTCAGAATTTTGCAGAACTGTAGCTGCGCTTGTAGCTTATATCACGACCTACTTAATAGGAAAATTTGAGGGCGTCACATGCAAAGGGAGGGAAGTTATAAAAGTAGTGGCAAAACTTTGTTAACAACTTAATATATACAACGAGGCAGTACAACTGAATCACATGAGGCAATGTAACAAAAACAGCAAAGTTTCGCTTAACGAAACTCACTAGATGCTAGATGGTAAATGAAAACTGTGGTTGAAATAACTGTAGACGAAATTTGAAACCTGAATCCAGAGGAGAACTCTCCGTTTTCTTGGGAACTACAATAACGCTCATAATTTGTCAAAAAAGTCGCCGGATTGCGGCGGACTCCGCCGGAGTGCGGCAGAGTGCGCCAAACTCCACTAGAGTCCGTCGGAATGATCGTCACATCGCCATATCTCGCTTCAGAATGGACGAAATCTGAATCCGAGAACAGCGTTCGATTCAGCTCGGCGAAACGCATCATCGTATATAGAAGCTGAACGTCTGTTTGTCTGTTTGTCTGTACGTACGTCCCGAATAGGAAATTCCATTTCTGAACCGATCCGAACCAAACTTGGCACACATACACTTCGGGCCCTGGCTGGTGTCATAGGCTACTTTTCGTCATCGATCGATATCGATTTTATCATTTTTATCGATTTCTTTGCAGAGTTCACCTACGGGGCTGGGAGTTGGCACAGGAGGAGGGTAAGTGAGCAGGGGATTCCGAAAACAATATTAGTTTGCAGAATTATCGATTACTTTTGTCGATTTTTATTGATTTCTTTGCAGAGTTTACCTACGGGGCTGGGAGTTGGCACAGGAGGAGGGTAAGTGAGCAGGGGATTCCGAAAACAATATTAGTTTGCAGAATTATCGATTACTTTTGTCGATTTTTATTGATTTCTTTGCAGAGTTTACCTACGGGGCTGGGAGTTGGCACAGGAGGAGGGTAAGTGAGCATGGGGATTCCGAATACAATATTAGTTTGCAGAATTATCGATTACTTTTATCGATTTTTATTGATTTTTTTGCAGATTTCACCTACAGGGCTGGGAGTTGGCACAGGGGGAGCGTAAGTGAGCATGGGGATTCCGAATACAATATTAGCTTTCAGAATTATCGATTATCATTTTGGTTGAATTCAGTGTGCTGATAACAGTATTACCATTGATCTGTCGCTGACGACACAGAGAGTATATTATAGGAGTATGGTAGGAGCCACTCTGATCGAATTTGTTGTAAGATCTGCTCAAGATCACAATACCGCTCACAGAATGTCAAAATTTCCGTGAACTTCGCGGAATTCCGGGATTTCCGCGATAATCCGGGAAGTTCGCGACATTTCAGGATCCGCGAAACCATGCGAATCACGCAGAATACGCAACGCCGTAACTTCCTTTATAATGAATATATTCCGAATCCAGAAGCAGCATGGTGTTCAGATCGTCGAGGCAAATATTTTGATATACAGTATGCTCTCGATATTGTTTCCAGTTTTTTCGAATTTTTTCTGTGGAGGTCCTTTCGCAAGGATGTAACGCAACGTCTGTGTAACATAAAACTCGCCGTAACTTCCTTCGGAATGAACATATTCTGAATCCGAAGAAAGCTTTGTGCTCAGTTTGTCAAGGCAAGTCTTTCGATTTACAGCATATCCTTGATATTCCGATTTCAATATTCTCAAATCTTTCTGTAGACGTGTAGATTTTCGCGAAGGTGTAAAGCAGCGCGCATTGCCCCTAGTAGACTCAGGCAAGGACCTTTCGATAGTACTTCTTTTGTAGATTACATAGCGAAAAAGTAGTCACAGGCATCTTTCCAATGGAGGTAGAAAGGCTGGTAAATCGTAAAAAAACCTGTTGTCCCAAATTCTACTCGTCGCAACCCTAGTACGAGGCTATCTTGCTAAGCAGATGTGAGTTTTGTAATCACCAGGTCGGATAACCCTTATGAACAAATTTTCCGAGATGTTCGGGTGATTTCATTTTTTCTTGTTTTACGCTCTGAAGCTGGCCGGTGGATTTCGGTCAAAATGTTGATGATCTTGAATTGTAAAGAAACTCCGCTCATAGAGGTTTACGAACACGCTGCTTATGAAAATCGTGTTCTCTGTCAAGTATAGGGTCTTTTTGCAGAGATATGGTGAGATAACTGCAACGGATTCACGAAAGCTCGTAACTTCGCCTCCACCTCTCACGCATCTCTCAGAAAACCTGCCTGCTTGCTTTTCCAAAGTTACTAGGAGATGTGCTATCGAATGGTGCATGACTCAGGCTCCAGTCTATAAAATTCGCCGAGTTATTACGAGCCTACGAAAACACGTTCTCATGAATTTTGCCCAAAAGGTAAAGATCGCATATTTTGTCGAAATTCGTCCGTGATCAAATTCTTCCACATTTTTAATTGATCTTATTGTGTTAGATTAATTCTTTGAGCTCTAGCCACGAAATAGATTCGATATTCAATTGAGCAGCTGAAGCACACGCAAGCACCATATTCAGTACAGTGGGGTCATTGAGTGAAGCGAACATAATATTCGCAATGCGAGTGTCATACAAGCACTCACGGTGAAATTTCGACGAGATTTGCGGTCTTTACATTTTGGGCGAAATTCATGAGAACGTGTTTTCTTAGGCTCGTAACTCGGCGAATTTTGTAGACTGGAGCCTGAGTCATGCACCATTCGATAGCACATCTCCTAGTAACTTTGGAAAAGCAAGCAGGCAGGTTTTCTGAGAGATGCGTGAGAGGTGGAGGCGAAGTTACGAGCTTTCGTGAATCCGTTGCAGTTATCTCACCATATCTCTGCAAAAAGACCCTATACTTGACAGAGAACACGATTTTCATAAGCAGCGTGTTCGTAAACCTCTATGAGCGGAGTTTCTTTACAATTCAAGATCATCAACATTTTGACCGAAATCCACCGGCCAGCTTCAGAGCGTAAAACAAGAAAAAATCAAATCACCCGAACATCTCGGAAAATTTGTTCATAAGGGTTATCCGACCTGGTGATTACAAAACTCACATCTGCTTAGCAAGATAGCCTCGTATTCTAGGGTTGCGACGAGTAGAATTTGGGACAACAAGATTTTTTTACGGTTTACCAGCCTTTCTACCTCCATTGGAAAGATGCCTGTGACTACCTTTTCGCTACGTAATCTACAAAAGAAGTACTATCGAAAGGTCCTTGCTGGAGTCTACTAGGGGCAGTGCGCGCTGCTTTACACCTTCGCGAAAATCTACACGTCTACAGAAAGATTTGAGAATATTGAAATCGGAATATCAAGGATATGCTGTATATCGAAAGACTTGCCTTGACAAACTGAGCACAAAGCTTTCTTCGGATTCAGAATATGTTCATTCCGAAGGAAGTTACGGCGAGTAGAATTTAGAAACGCGTGATTTTTCCAAAATTCACCAACGCTTCTGTCTCTTTTGGAAGAAAGTCTGCAGCTACTCTTAAACGCACGATAACCTACAAGGACAGTACTATTGAACAGTGCTTACTGGAATCTTTCATTACACAGACGCTGCGTTACATTCTTGCGAAAGGACCTCCACAGAAAAAATTCGAGAAAGCTGGAAACAATATCGAGAGCACACTGTATATCAAAATATTTGCCTCGACGATCTCAACACCATGCTACTTCTGGATTCGGAATATATTCATTCCGAAGGAAGTTACGGCGTTGCGTATTCTGCGTGATTCGCATGGTTTCGCGGATCCTGAAATGTCGCGAACTTCCCGAATTATCGCGCACTCTGGCGAAAATCCCGGAATTCCGCGAAGTTCACAGAAATTTTGACATTCTGTGAGCGGTATTGTGATCTTGAGCAGATCTCAGAACAAATTCGATCAGAGTGGCTCTCTACCATAGTATACTGTCTGTGTCGTCAGCGACAGAACAATGGTAATACTGTTATCAGCACACTGAATTCAACCGAAATGATAATCGATAATTCCGAAAGCTAATATTGTATTCGGAATCCTCATGCTCACTTACCCTCCTCCTGTGCCAACTCCCAGCTCCGTAAGTAAACTCTGCAAAAAAATCAATAAAAATCGATAAAAGTAATCGATAATTCTGAAAAATAATATTGTATTCGGAATCCCCACGCTCACTTACCCTCCCCCTGTGCCAACTCCCAGCCCCGTAAATGAACTCTGCAAAAAAACGATAAAAATCTATAAAATCGATATCGATCGATGACGAAAAGTAGCCTATGACACCACCCGGGGCCCGAAGTGTATGTGTGCCAACTTTGGTCCGGATCGGTTCAGAAATGGAATTTCCTAATCGGGACGTACGTACAGACAAGCAGACAAACAGACGTTCAACTTCTATATAAGATGATGCGTCTCGCCGAGCTGAATCGAACGGTGTCCTCTGATTCAGAATTCGTCCATTCTGAAGCAAGATATGGCGATGTGACGATCATTCCGACAAACTCTAGTGGGGCGTGGCGCACTCTGCCGCACTCCGACGGACTCCACCGCAGTCCGGCGACTTTTTTGACGAATTATGAGCGGTATTGTAATCGAGGCTATGCAATAAAAAAAGATGATAGAAGCGAACTTGCAATCCTGATGAGCACTGCGGCCTTCTATCTTGTAACTCGTCACTTGATTACCTCCTCCAAAAGCATTTCATAGCCATTTGGAACAGCTCTAAATTACTGAGTTATTTTGTGCCTATGAAACTCGGAGGAACAAGGATACTGTGTGATTGAAAACTGAGTATTTGCTTGTTCTTTTCGATGGCCACCTTCACATTACTAGATACCCGACGGTGGCGATGAGATTGGCAGAATGTTAACAGCGTGCCACTCTATTAGAACTCTTTGTCTAAAGTACAAAAATTCATTGTTACGACACACTGACTGTGGTGCTGACGCATGCAAACGTAGCCGCTCGATTCCATTATCTACCCGTGCGTACGGCATTCAGTCAGCAAATATAGTATTTACTTACAAAAAGTACTACTTACATAGTTGAAAAGGTTTTCAGATAAGAAAAGATACGCAGGAGTTACACATATAGGATAAGACAAGTCGTCCCATCGTGCTCCAAATAGCCATAAATTGATCACCCACCTGCAACTTGCGATTTGATAAGTATCATACCACGTGTCAAGGCGAAGAGTGCAGGCCCCTTCTTTAAGTTCCGTGCAACTACAGATTTATCCACAATTTTTTTAAAGTTCAATCCAACGCAGTGCCTACCAGAGAAGTGCTTGGCCTTTTATGGATGTTTTTGTTTAAGTTGGGTTGCATTGAAGATCGTGTGATGAAGCAAGCAGGTAGCAACCATTCCGTGCAAAAAACAGTAAGAAGTCGATACCAAAGACAAACATAAATGCGCTGCTATTGCTGAATGTCTAACACCAGCACAGAAGACGTGGGGGTCCTATAGCGAAGTGTAGCAGCGATGAGATGGTGCGACGAACACCGGTGTTCTGCACTAGGCAGCAGCTTGAATCACTATGAAGGGAGTATCAATTTGGTCCGCAGGCATGAAAGTACAAGCTCCTGCAAGACGAAGGCGGTCGGCTCGATGTCTCGATGTGCAACGCGGCTCCGACACTGCTGCGTCACAGCCACGTCGCGCATCGAACCGACCGCCTTCGTCCTGCAGGAGCTTATATCTAACGAGGAGAGCGGCGGTCCGAGTTATGAGTTCGCCGCAAGCGATCGCCGTGCTGCTCTATCTTGTCCAGGGACGCCGCTCCCTTCCCCGTAAGCTTTTATGTGATTGGCTTTGCACTGTTTTCAGGATACTACGCTGTCAGCGACACCGTAATATTCCAAATATGGAATTTGCATGATTCCAGCAACGTAGCCTTCCCATCGCAGGGCAAACGACCAAACGAAGCACTATGGAAGGACGGACATGGTATTTGCATACGTTTATAGTACTTTCATGAAGTATGCGCTAATAACAGTCAAGCATCTCATTCTCAAAACTTTAGCAGCAAGGAGTAGGTTCTGTATGTGAAACATAAGCTCGTCACTTGTTTAGAATTCATTGATTTGCTCGACCGCAGCTTTTGAAACACTTGAAGGCGCTTTTTCTCATTGTGCCGATATATAATCTTCAACCTCCGAAAACGCTTGTTCTACTAAATCTAACTCTCAAAAATATTCATCCAAGGTCGATATAAGGTTCCATAAGGTTCTGTGAGGTTCATTCTTGAAGCATCTCCATGTAAAATCGTTAATTTTGAGAAATTTTTTTGTAAAGGAACACATGCAAATTTAAAAGAATTTTGCACGGAAATGTAGCCCAAGGCGACTATTATTCCTATGACGACTTTCAAGCCAAAATAAATTCAGTAATCCATTTTTTAAGTTAGAACCTTGCGAGATCGACTATCTACGCGATAACTACTTTTTGCCGCTGTTTTCGCAGAAAAGCATTTTAAAGCACTTTTTAGGCTAGAATTTATGGGGCGCAGATTAACTTGTCAGGCAAATCATGAGTTTGCAAAAAGTCAAATCAGCGACCTAGTTTTGCCTGCTAAAAGCCGCCTAGACCCATTTGGCGCGCACATTTTGAAGGCCCCGCTCATCAAACCTTGCTCGTCCATGTGCATAGTGGACCTATGGAACGGTACGTTATGCAAAATTGTAGTTCGATAGCTTGGCTGCAGCTCCCTCTATGAATTTCGACAGACAGACAGACATACACACACGCACAAAAACACAGACGCTTAGCGCTTTATTATAAGTCATGATGGGTAATAATATGCCTGTAAGGTTTTGCGTTTTTGTTAACCTATTCAAATTTTGCAAGAATTGCTATCACATCTCATGTCACTATAGAGGAGCAGAGGACTCTGAACAAATATTGAAACTAAGTACTGTGATAGTTTGGAGCTTACATTCTAACAACAAGAGCACAATTTGATGTAGTAGATGTTTTCGCCAAGCACAGATAGTACGGTGAATCTTTATTTGACCTAACGTTTCGACCGTCTTCTTCGGAGGTCGTTGATCCACCGTGGTAAGGCAACGACCTCCGAAGAAGACGACCTTGTGGAAACGTTAGGTCAAATAAAGATTCACCGTACTATCTGGGCTTGGCGAAAACATCTACTACATCAAATTATGACATAAGATGCCCAGATTCAGAGAAGAGAGAACCTGGAGTTTACTAAGGGCCGCATGCACTAACATCCCCGCGGGGAGGGGATCGCAGCTTAAAAGAAAGCTTTATATTTCGAAACTCCAGATACCTGGATTTCACGTTGCGTACCTATCCGTAAGTATTCCTATTACCCTTTACTATGAACATGTTGAACAGGAGCGAGAAGCTGTACAAACGGCATTTTCTAGCTTTTGTATGATCCCTGATGATCCCTGGCGCTTTTCTTCAAAGTCATTTTTCTTTCTCCGAAGTTAACGAAGAATCTTCAGAGTTGTGCATATTGTCTAACCCGACAGTGCTAAGCATGTTGCTGCTAAGAACAAATGATGTTTTGAAGTCATGAAATTTGCGATGATCCACAGGTCGAAATTTGAGGCTTACCGAAAAATTCGACTTTTCAAAAAGTCATTTGTTCTCATCAGCAACATGCTTAGCAGTATTGTGTTAGATGTTCAGTACAACTTTGGAAGGCTTTCGTTAACTTCGGAGAAAGAAAAATGACTTTAAAGAAAAGCGCCGGGGATCATCAGGGATCATACAAAAGCTGGAATTGCGGCTTGTACAGTTTCTCTCTTTTGCTCAATATGTTCATAGCGAAGGATGGTGGGAACACTTACGGATAGGTAGACAGCGTGAAATCCAGATATCCGGAGCTTCAGGATATGAAGCTTTCTTCTGGAGCTGTGATCCCCTCCCCGCGGGGATATTAGTGCATGCGGCCCTAAGAGCACAATCGTACATTTCTTAGGATCACCCACGTACAAGTCAGTTTATGAGTTGATGACCAATAAATACAAAAACGATGAAGTTGTGCAGAAGATGTGGAAGGATTACCAAGCTGGAGTGGGTATAAGTGCTTTATTTCCATTCCCTCACTATTTAGCATTAGTTGTCAGCCAATGGTATTCAACAATCTTCAGTTAAGCATTTGCAAAACGACGTTGGATTCGCTGATAGCAGCACATTGTGAGTTTGCTAGATAGCGATTGCAGCTTTTTGAATCACTTTTACAGCATCTACATCCCAAGTGACAGAATCGAGTACTTCTCGCAGTTAATCCAACTGTTTGATGAGGCTCATATTCCTGCAGGCTTTGCAATAGCCAAATTTCTGGATACGGTTAAGGTTGAATGGTATGCACTTCAATCTTGAAGTTGTGGACTGCTAGTATAACAGTGCAAGTGCTGATCTCAAGGGCTCCGCATAAAGATAAGCCCATGCGCTCTTCTTTCATTTGAAGCATAGACATGTTCTATCTTTTTGCCTGAGAATTGAAGGTTTGCGAAGGTTTACATCTACTTCTTTATAATGACTGATAGGCAGGGTCACTGTCAAGTACATAAAAAAAGAGCAAAACCCGAGGACTGCCCCTTTTCGTTTGCTCTAGTGACGATAATAAACGTTCGTTGTTTTCGAAAGTTCTTTACATTTGTATGGCAGAAAGATTTTGCTAATGGCGCGGAGTTACATTTAATCCCGTTAATGCCTTAGCGAGTTTCTATATGACTATGATGTTAGGTCTTCAATCCTTATGTATGAGGAGTTTTGCACGTCATTTCTTCACATTTCACTTTCCTTTGCGGTATGTCGCTTCAGATAAGTTTGCGATTGATCTAGAAACCTGCATCAGAATATGCAACACTCTTCTAGAAAAAAAAAACAAGTCATTAAATTTACACAGACAATAACTAGCTGCAAAAGCTTGCCTACTTTCTCATACTTTTTTTGAAGAGCACTTTGTATCTATCCTAACTATCTATCCTAACCGTAAAAAATAATCAATTTATAATTGCAACGAAAAAAAGATCAATTTTTGGAATTAAGGATTGTACTGGTTTTTTTAGCAGTTTCTAGAGCATTATCGGCATTACTCGAAGGTATAAGGAGGGAGAATGTAAGGAAAGCGAATGAAGATCGTGGGCCTTTCCAAAATGGAAAGGCCCACGATCTTCATACGCTGGAGAACTTGTGTACGTACAAGATGAGCTAAAATGCCACGTGTGCTCTAAAGTGGCAAACACTGATGGATTTCGTAAGGTGTCAAATTTAACTTGGTGCCGAGCAGGTTTGAGAATGCTCCTTTTTCCTTCCAATCACGAGCTTACGTTTCGACGCCTTTCGACATCCTTAGAGGCCTAGAATATTTTAAGTATTATCCATAACTCCAGATCACCAAACGTTTCCTCCAACTCTCCGTCTCAGCCTTCTCACAATCTCGCTATCAAATAAAATGTCAATGTGGCAGAACATACGGTAAGACCACCGCTATTCGAATAATCTGCATTGAAAATATGCAGTGGAATACAAGTGGATCATGCTGTAGATACGCAAAGATGATCTACAGTTATAGATCACATAACGATACGAACGAGAGGAAGTTGGAAATTACTGATAACTAGCTGGCATACCCGGCTCCGCTCAGACAATCGCCGGGGGCAGGCGGGCACCGGAAAAATAGATTGCTGATTTCTCGCACCCCGCTCGCGGATTTTTTGCAAAGCAATCAGGACTTTTCGGAAGACCGCTTGCGGAGTTGTCGATTCCTCAGAGATTCAGCAATATATCAGCAAAAGATAAGAGCGAAAAAAATTCAACGGGCGGTCTCTCAAAAATCCACTGACTCAGCAAGCGGTCTTCCGAAAAGTCCTGATTGCTTTGCAAAAAATCCGCGAGCGGGGTGCGAGAAATCAGCAATCTATTTTTCCGGTGCCCGCATGCCCCCAGCGATTGTCTGAGCGCCCGGCCCCGTCAGTTCACTTTGGTGATTGCCATTTCCAATTTTTCATTTTTGCTGCCTTGCTGCTAAGCGGGCTACTCGCTCTGCTTCCACTGCTTGAGGCTGATTTTGGATACAGCAGGATCTTCTGATTTGGAAATATTTCTTTCTCACTATGACTAAGTAAGTAGATGTTTACATTTGAAATAGGCGCTTAAATTTTTTCAAGACCTGAACAGTGCAAAGAATTCTTGCCCAATCTCATGAGTCTCGACCCTATTATTGTTCATACTATACACCTAATGAAGGAATATTGATCGTAACGGTAAATGGAGCATTCCTTTCATAAAACACTCATTACGGTACACTCATGATTACTTACGCGCCGCATTGAACTCGATCGCAGCATAAAATATGATGCTCATGGACATAACATCAAGGTTTATATCAAGAACACTTTCACTGCACTTCACCAACAGAGGTTCAAAATAAGACATGCCGGTCATGTTTACATTCTGTAGAGCTGGTTTGATAGCAAATGATACGAGTTCAACCATTGCAAAGTGCTAAAAATCAATTAATCGATAGGAAGGCCCAGCGAATTTTGATAAAAAGTATCCTAAAACCGTCTCCGGGGTCGAAAACATCTGTATGCAAAGCTTCAGCCCAATCGGTTGAGCGGCGCGCGTTTCTATAACCACATACCTTCCAAACAGACAATTTTTGAGTTTTATATATATTTAGAGATAACAGTGGCGCTCGCAGGATTGAAAAAAAATTTTTTACAGGGCTAATTTGAATTTTTAAAAAATTTCAAAAATTATTTTAATTGTTTACAAGCATAAACAAGTCACTTGCACATTTTTATAACCCATATAAGTAACTTTCAAACATTTCGCGACCCATTCTCGGGGGGGGGGGGGAGGGGGTCGCGCGCTCCCCTCCCCCCTCGGTCCGCCACTGAGAGATAATGATAAACACACTTTCTTATTATTGAACCTTGATTTCTTGGTATCCAGAATGCTTTCAATGCTCTCCTAACCAAAATCTCTGTTACATACGCAAGATTTCTACTCTTGCTATTGAAGTCTTCTTGACCGTGCCTAAGGTCCCTACGCCTGTCAAGCGGCGAGCTCAATTTTTTTGCTCCTTTCATCGGCCAGGTGTTCTTTCATAAATATAACGCTTCGCAGTTGAGACACACGATCTGATGAACGATTCTCGGAGCACATCCGATTGCCGTATTAAGCATATTTTGATATTCGCGTGTTTCACAGATACACTTGACGTTTATCAAGATGTTCTTAGGGCTTTCCTTGCGCTATTTCGCGCGTGAGTTTGATGCTCTGGGACTGCTGTTTCAAGATCTCAAAACACTCATCTATTTCGGGTTGTGTTGATGTGATGACACAGTTGTAGATGTAGGGCCAAAAGAAAAATTCAAAAGTATGTTTAACAAGGCAATGCGGATATGCTGCGGAGAGAAAGAAGCTGCGAGTTCCAGGAGTTGGCTCCCAAACTGCTTGCTGTGATGGTTACCATAACTTGCCGGTCTTCGACAATCTAGAAATGGTAACAGCATATATAGTAACGTTAAGCTCCTACTTTGCCTTCCCTTCATCTCCGACAAGATTACCACTGCGTTTTCAAAATGCATTTTTTGAGCTCAACTACAAAATTATGTTGTTCTAGTAAACTCCCTAACGACAGAAGCAGAACGTAGCTGGTCCGAAATAGGTTCACCGATATTGCACGACAGAGCAATGCATATATGCCCACATGGTAGAATGGGAGACTGCGCAAAAGTGGGGCCCTGTTTGTCAAACTAAGTATCTCAATTGCAGAACGTTATATATAGAAGAGACGGCTACACTTTTGGCATGAAAATCATCTGGATGGTAAAAGGCGCAAAAATATGGGCTCATCGATTGGCAGGCATAGGAACGTTGAGCACGGGGGAGAAGACTTCAATACCAAGCGTGGAATTCTTGCGTATGAAACTGAGATCTTAGCTAGAAAAGCATTGAAAGCATTATGGATCACTACCAAGAATTCAGAGTTGAATAATAAGAGTGAGTGCTTATCATATCCTACTAGAGTATCTTTTGGTAACTGCCAAAGCGATACGACGGGGATACTCTCCTCCGCCATATGCTTTACTATTGTGCTATGTGTTCTCATGCACTGTTAACAGCAGATTCGCGACAACGAGGGCAGTCCAGATTATGCGGCGACGAAATGGAGCTGTGTCTTTCGAATTATTGAGGATGCGCAGAAAAAAGCTCCATCCTATCGAAAGAGTTGTGGGTACAATTTGCCTTTCCGGAGCTACAGATGAGTTTGCTGGAGAGTCATGAAAGCTACACTTTTTTGGCGCATTCAATGAGGATCCATATGGTGTGCATAACAGCGACGTGAGCTGTTGACGGTGTTCGTAGCCAGTTTCCGGATGGGTCCACTTTAAGTGGAAATCATCAAGTTTGCTTTGTGCTGTTGTGTTGTTTGAGCTACAACTTGGAAATTGCCGCTTTTTATCCTGCCTAATGCTTTTTACAATTAGAATTAGTTTTCGAGAGGAACATTATGGTTTTAGAAGCTATATGTAGTTTAGTTGAAAATAGAATAACATAATCTATCAATTTACGGGAAATCGCTAAAGTTCCAATTTTAGGTGCTTTTACTTTTACTTTTACTTTAGTGGTAGGAAAGAAATGGAAATTAGAAATTTATTTGTTTTTAATATGTTACTTTGCGAAAATATTGCTTTCGCCTCTGAAAACAAAAAAGAGAGAGTCGCGTTTTGTTGGAAGAGAAGAATCAATCACTTGATGCGGCAGTACATTTTGCTAAACTTCTAGGATTTAATGCTGAATTTCACAAAAACCTCCTAGGATACTTACTTTCGGGTGCTTCTACATTGTGAAAATATTGTTTTTGCCTCAAAGGGCAAATGAGCAGAGGGTGCTCGTCTGCTGGAAGGAAAGACTCAAGACTCCACAAAAGAACAATTTTGCCAACTAGATTCTAATGTCAAATTTCACGGAAACTTGCTGAACATTCGTTTTTGACTGGTTTTACTTTGTGAAAGTCCTACTTTGTTAATAGAAATAACACAGCATAGGGAGCTTGCCTCAAGGGAAGAAAATCTCAGTGACATGCAGCAGGATATCTTTGATATGATTCTTTAGGTTTCACCGCTGAATCTTACATGAATTTGCTTGGAATCCGCTTTGGCCGACCCTACTTTGCGAAAATCATACTTCTGCTTCAAAAGGCAAAGAAAGGAATGGAGCTTAATCTCGAAGGAAGGAAGGCTTTAAGGGCTTCATACGGCAGTGCATTTCTGCTAAGAATTTCTCATCAATGCTTAATTATACAAAAACTCGCTTGAAATCCACTTTTGGCCGCTTCTACTTCGCAGAAATCGTATTTCTGC